AAACAGGGGCTGTGAAACCGTGAAAAGCTCCAAGGTTCGGATCCAGGCGCATCCAACGTTGGCTGAACCCCGTCAAGTCCATCAGCTTTCTCTGCGCTCTTGAGAAGAGTGCTAGAAGTGTCCTTGGCAATGCAAAGTGGTGCAAATGAACATCGAAAAGATGCAGATTTACAGATTTACAGAAACATGTGACCAGCAACCAAAATGTTTGGAACGTCCAGTCTGAGGAGCTTCAAGAAGTCCCATATTGGAATCCTTAGCCAAAACTCATTGTTTCACCTCCATTACAGGGAATCGGCATCTGCATCAATTGCAGCAATCAGGATTATGGAGGTTCAAAATATTCAGGCCCCTGCCTTCACATCTGCTCTGGACCAAAACAATTGCATACACAAACCACATCTGCCTTGGCCGGAAGGTGTCTGGAAAAAGAATGGCAAAAAACATGCGTCGAAATTACTGCTGAATGTTGTCTCGAAACCGGAAAGTGTAAAAATAGTCTTACAAAGGAACACGGCAAAAGAAGCAAGTTGGATGAACTGCCACATAGATACGGCGCAATAGGTATGCAGCGGAGAGATCCCACATGACGTTGCAAGAAATCACAAATAGTCTAGGTGCACTGTGCGGCTCAAACACCGCAAAGAGAACAGTTCGAGCCTAAATCTTCCAAGATAAGAACAAAAAGGCTGGCTGGACCGAAACGCTGAAATCCAGAGCATTTTGCCCGGCGAGACAAACATTTGCACACCACAACAAATCTGTCGGGGCACAATACCGGCGTTCCTGTGTTCCATTGGTTTTCCGGGGTTCTTTTTTGGAGGCCTCCGACCTGTTCATGCTGGTATGGTTAGGTTTCAAAGTAGCACTCATTTCAAACTAATTTGGTTGTTGTTCGGCGCAAAAATTCCAAAAATACACCATTTATTCGATCCTTATAAACTTATAGACTCAAATGCTGCGAGCATCTATAAAATTGGTCAAGAACATGCCCAACTACAAGAAGCAAACAAAACGTCATGGCGACAAGTCCGCCCGTCCGTGACACATTTGTGTAACAACAGGGAACGATACCGCAAATCATCCCGCTCACCAGCGACACGCCGCGTTTACACCAGCACGTTTCGCGCTCCCCAGCGGAACGGCGCCACGCAAACGCACCTCCCACCAAGGCCGCGCAAATCCGCAGGGCACTGCGACATCACGGACGATGGAGATAATTTCGCCGCGCGATCTGCACACACACTAGAAGCAATCCTATCACACGATGCCGGCATCCCGCTCATCAGCGACACGCCGCGTTTACATCAGCGTGTTTCGTGTTCCCCAATGGCACGGAGCCACGGAAACGCATTTTCCACCAAGGCCGCGCAAATCCGCATGGTACTACGACATCACGAACGTAATTCGCCACACGGTCTGCCCACACACTAGGAGCAACATTATACGTTTTTCGTTGAGGATTCTAGAAATTACAATATCCAAACAGACGTTTTTTGTTTTAATCCCGCAAATTCTTCCAGACCGCGACATTTTTCATATCCAACAAAAAATCTTCACGATGCATCCTGTTTTCACTCTCCAACCGTACCATCACCAATCTTCAAAAAATGACACAAACATTTCCAACAATACTATATAACGGAACAACTAAACTAACCTGAGAAGCTGCAAAACGAAAGCCAGCAGTTTTTGTCCACGAGCAGGTTGCTGGCCAAAGGCAGCGTGCAGCATCGCTACTTCCGTGCACCCCTACACACCACCTACTTTCGAGTGTGCTTTCTCAGGCCACCCCCCCGAAACCCCCTTCTTACTCAGCTGCCGCCTTGCCAGGTATAGATGCCCGGGATAATTACAATTCAATTACCAGGTAAAATACTTCAAATTCCCTGTCGGTCAACCGCTCGGTAACCTTTACACACGCACAGCAATCCAGAGCTTTGAAGTTTCATTCGTACTTTGAACTTATGTGGGTGTGTGAGAAATATAGCAACATAGCATGAATACGGATCCAGGGCAACTACAACTCTGTTGCCAGGTATCACACTTCAGTTTCCCTACGGTAGGTCCGCGCGCGCGCGCGCCTTGCTGGCTCCCGACTGCTCTAGATTTAGAGAGGCCAGCTACAAGGCAATTACCAGCCAGGTATACCCAGGGTAGTTACAATTCAATTGTCCAGTATAGCATTTCCAGCAATCAAAATCAATTGCATTTCCTAAAATCAGAAGAAGGTATCTCCAAAACCTCAGTTCCGTGCGCCCCCACATACCACCTACTTTCGAGTGTGCTTTCTCAGGTAATCCCTCCGAAAATTCCTTCTTCTTACTCAGCTGGTGCCTTGCCAGGTATAGATATCCAGGGTAGCTACAATTCAATTACCAAGTATTATACAGGTGTATAGAAAAGACAAAAACATAGCATTTTTACGGACCCAAGGTAACTACAATTCTACAAACAACATTACAAAACTGAAGCGAATCCGACTGGATGTTTCAAAACGCTTGCCTGTCCTTCATGGCCAAGACTGCAGGATCATGTTCACTCGGAATTGCATCGTCCTGCGCTCAAGCAGCTTTCGCGTCGCAGGAATAACAACTTCACTGCTCCATACAACATCCCGTGAATGCGACCAGCATTGTGAAAAAGGAACATTTTTGAGTTCCAAGACTTCGTTTGGGCTTCAACCCCCCCAAGAAACTCCACACATCTCTTTGATCGAACGAAAACGGCCCTTGCAAGCAAATCCACTGCATGGAGGTAGGGATAACCTTATTAGGGAATGGACCTTGTTCTAGGACACATGGAGTTTCACAAAGCCCCTGAAAGCAAACCCTACACAGGAATGCAAAGGGTTCTTTGAAAGCCGCCAGCGAATCCAACACGGAAAGCCATCCATTTTAGAGCGCCAAGACGTGGTAATCCGTCCGGTTGAAGTGAGATTGAACATAGGAATTGGAATCCAATTGCCTTGGAGGACACACCAAGGTAAACCCTGCGATGACGTTCACTTTGTAGCCAGTTTTCGATCAGCTGGCTATTGTTGAAAGTTTGCAAGCGCCATCTGGGACGTGATGATCTTTATCGTGTGGCTGCCTTGTCCTCACACGTTGGACTCGATACATCCGTAGGTGCAGCAACAGCCGCGTCTGGGAAAAATCTTCCGTGTCCTCCTCAGTGAAACTTTTTGCCTTGTTCTGCACGTCTTGGCTCTCTTTCTTGTCCTGACAGTGTAAATCGCTTCAGGCCACTCGGAAACACGCCACGAGTGGAAAACCACCACGAGAGGGAACACGGTTTGACTCTTCTGTCTACATAAATCTATCATCTGCGATGCTGAACACCTGGCACTTGTGCAGCTCTCTGAAAAAACAACATATTTGTCCCAACGAGGCCTTTCGCGCTATCTCAAGGGCAGGTGCATTAAACATCGTATGAGTGTATGAGCATCACAACGCACTGAATCCTACCACACCCAAATTTGTATCCGCTCAAAAAAGGCAGCTCGGAATTCGCTAAAGGCAGGGAGGGATCCGCTGTTTTTGGGAGCAAAAGGGTCGAATGTCCAAGTTGCGCAGACCGTGCAGTTTTCGAACGTCCAACGGCGTTCCACGGTCGTTCCACGGCATGCGCCGTCATGCGCCGTACAATCGTCGCGCTTGCCGTAGACATGGGTGACGGATCAACGGTTCTGAAATGGGCACAGTCGCGGATGAGATCGATCAGATCTCCCACCCCAAACTCACACCGTGGTGAAACGCAGGCAAGCCCTTGGCCAAACACGGTACAAGGACAGGATCTTTTGTAACCATTGGCCAAGCCCCTCAAAGAAGTCTGAACTGGGCTAGGTCAGAACCGTTCCAGTGCCTATTCTGTTGCGCTGCACAGAGCCGGTACCGACTGCAGTCGGGTCTTGCTCTACAACGTGAAACAACATGGCCAAAAACGTGGCACCCACAGCCAATCTTCACGTAGGCGCGTCGAGAGAATGACCAAGTCCCACGCGTACGGCGCCAAGAGCCCACCGGTTCCAGCGGTTTCAACTCTTGGGCACGGCGCAGATGGTTCCACGACGCAGAGAGTTCCACCGGCTGTGGTTGTTGAGGTTCCAGACTTAGCCGTCGATATACTATTCTAACTGGAGCCCCTGCTCCTCTGAACGGCAGAAGTTCAGTTTATTCAATTTTGGGGAAGTTTCTACATGGCACACAACTAACCATATCTGGAGTGTACGGAAACCATGAAATAAATAGTAATTTCTTCCTTTTAGCTCTGTTACCCTCACCATTGCTCTCAGTTTTAGCTCTTAATCGCCAGACAATGGGGTCGTGGGCGTTCGGGGTTGGGTTCAGACAGGAGACTGTTAACAGGGTTGGGAGGACACATAAGCCTTTTAATTCTTTATGGTCTCCACATGCCTCCACACAATACTGATATGTTTAATTAGTTTTATATAATCATATTATACATAGACATAGTTCTATGCGTCGTGAAGAACTTTCTCCAAAATACAACGCAATGGGCACATTACCTTCCAAGATCCGCCAGTTTTTGTGACGCTGATTCAGCAATCCCTGCTGAAACTTGATTGGAGTTTCTACTTCAGTACTGGCTGTTTGGTGTTTGAGCACCAAAAGACCTTTGCAAGATTGCCAATTTACATTTGGGCGCCTCGAACAATTTGAACGCATTGGCAGCATGAAGGATTGAGAGGTTGTGGGGATTCCAGAGCCATACAGTCACTTGGCTCAAAAGCATTTTTGCATTGGCTTGTGAGAGCGACCAGGGTGGTCGTTCCCGCAATTCTTTGTATACATTTCGTTGCATCGTGTAACAGGATTTATGCACTGGGGCAAACATGTGGTGTTTCCAAAAATGCAACCCTGCAGCTTCCAGAACTGCACCTGTGCGCTTCGAGCAACCAAACTTGTGTTTTCAGAAGCACGCTCGCTCTCCCAAAGGGCGCAGACCTGTCCTTTCACACGCATGCCACTGCGTATTGCAGAAACTCAGCTGTGTATTTCGAGCAATACAAGCGCCCCTTCTCGGAAACATGATCTTCAACTTCCACCGTGAAGTTTTGTTTTTTCAAGCCGTTCCGGGCTAATTACTGTGTCCGCCTTTTTGTACAAACTCCTTGGCATCTTTTTTTGCGTTTGTTTACCATTCTGGGCTAGTGTTGTGGCAACTGCCAATAGCAAGTCTTTACATTCGTCTCCCAGTCTGGATTAGTGGCTCTGACTCCTTATAGCAGTTCTTTACATTTGTCTACATACTGGGCTACTGTGGCCGCCTTTTTGTAGCTCCTAAAATTGTCTATAAAAACAATAAAGAATTCCTCTGGGGATTTGCCAGGACGCGGACACAAAGAAAAATGTCCAGCAGCTACAAAGCACCGGCTAGAAGGCGGACGCACTAGCCCAGACTGGGAGACAAAGAATGCACCAAGGATGCGAAGGGGTGCCGAAAAGCGGACACACTAGCTCAGACTGGTTGGCAAACAATAGGAACTGCAACTAAGGCCTTGCCAGAAGGACACACTAGCCCACTGGAAACAAACATGTCCAGACTGGGAGACGAATGTCAAGTTTGCTACCACATCGACACGGCCCACACTGGGAGACCAGTGCTCCTGGGCTACGGGCGACTGCGTCCGCAGTAGGTGACACGGACTCAATCCGACCCAGAAGCCGAACCAGGGTGTCGAGGGAGTGGAGGGAGTGCCAGGAAAAAACCAAGAAAGGAGACAGGCGTGTCGCCACTCCCAATTCAAAAGTGAGAGTTTTTAAGATTTGGCTTCAACATCCAAGAAGAAGAGCCGTGGGAGACAGAGGGAGACAAAGCAGAATCATCTCATCTGCTTTGTCTCCCTGCGTCTATTTTGTTCATGGCTCTTCTAAAGCAGGATCATCGCAGAAACATCTCAGAAGAGCTACGGAGACAAAGGAAGACCAAGCAAATCCATCTCAGCACAGCGTTAAGAAGAACCACGCAAAACAAAGAAGACTAAAAAGGGAGGAAAAAGCAGAATCATCTCTTCCTAGCATCCAGAAGAGCGCTGGAAGACCAAGGAAAACTCACGGAGACAAAGCAGAATAATCATCTTGGCAGGATCCCTTTTCTTGACGAAAAGTAAGAACCCCTCACAGCAAAGCTGCTTGGTGGAACAAAACAAACTGCAGAAGCGACATTTCTGTGAACTTACCAAGCCGGAAGAAAAGGGCCCGAAAAAAGCTGCGAACCGAACCGCTCAAGAAATCCTGTTCTGCGCACCTACCCGAACCGTAGGTTTAGTGCGTTTTGCCTTTTGCAACGTTGGCGTTTGTATGTGTCATCTTTGATCTTTGTTTTTTTTGATTTTTGGTCTCTCGTCAGCTTCCGGCACTCTTCCTTTTGTCAAGAAAAACACCGTGTGCAAAAAACATGAATGGGCAGAGCGACAAAGCCAGCTATATTATAATCCCCGGCCTTTTCAGTAGCGCTGCTGAGAAGTTCTTCACGCAAACGCTCCACTCGCTTGGCTTCTTGCTGGGCTTTTGCGATTTCAAGCCGTCGCACCTGCAGAGTGGACTCGGGTTAAGCAAACATTCAAGTTTGATTGGTACTGAGCTGTATACCTACGGCATCCTAAGCCCACCAGCGAACGCACTCCAGTCGGCACATGTTACAAAGCTCAAATGAAAACAAACAACCTAAACCTGCTAACAAAAGGGAAGCACGAGGATCTCATTGATTTCATCCACGGAAAAACCAATTGCCCAGGGTGAGCCTGCGAGCAAACAAAACATTGAGTTTTTACGCTTAATAAGGAATTGAGTCTTTTCGGTACAATGACCATAGCCGTTGTCAAATGTGATCGCTTCGTGAACGTCACTGACAAGTCCCGTTGACACTCTGAGTTTGCCAAGGTACGACCATATTTTTCTTGACGGTCTCCAGGAATTCGGGATCCTGCGCTGCTTGGCCGCGAAGCTTGAAAAAAGAACACCCTGCAAACTGCTGAGTCTGAAAGTAGCTGTCAAGAAAAAACGGGTGGGCAGCCGAACCATTGGCCTGTGCCCACAGTATATGTATCATTGATTCTTGGTACTTAGCAATTGTGGTGACATGCGACACGAAACGGGCTCCGTTGCTCTGCGCAGGAAACGGTCAAACGCAACGTAGAATCAATTCCCTCCGCAAAAATACTCAGCCTTCAGTCCTGGGGGTCAGAGCAACCAATCATTATGCCATTCCAATCTCCAGTGCCTGTGTTACTGTTCAAAAGCAACAAAAATACTACACCCGCCTCGACTCCAAACAACTTTTGTTCAATTGGTCTGCTTTCAGCCGCCGTGGCAAAGACAAGCAGGAACACGCTGCAACTCCAAAAACATGACTGTGTTTTTCAAAAAAGACACACGCCGTCATGGATTTTTGGACATACTCACTGTATATTTCGACGAAGCAACTCGTGCGCTTTTAAGAACATGAAGTTGCATGTTGAAAACACCAACTCCCAAATACATCTGTGTATTTCGACCCATGCAATTGTGTAGTACGTAAAAACATGACACTGCGCTTCCAAAGACACAACTCTGGCTTGCCAGAAACAAATAACAGTGCGTAGTTCGACGCGATACGCACGCGCTCTGACAAGCATGACGTGGGATGCGGTGCTTGCAGGTCACGGGTGTCGGCAACTTTTCGCGCGGCGCGTTGTTGACAAAGACATTACGAACTCTTGAAGGTCATGAGGTTGATGTTGACTGCATCTTGACCACCAACATCCCGATCTTCCGGATGAGCGTGGCGCTGAATGCTTTGAGAGCAAGCCACGGAAGCGACGAAATTTGGGTGAAGCCGAGCGCATGTTTCAAATACTTGAACCACCTCGATTCTCGAATCCAGCACTCCTGGCATCACCCATTTCAGGTCGCGCTTCAATTGGTGCCTGAAGAACTTCAGAGTGAGGAGTCAACAAAGTCACCGCCAGAAGCGTGAACGCCAGCGTGAACGCAACGGGAGCGCCAGCGATACGAGATGAGCCATGGAACCGACATTTCTGTTACCAAGAGCGTCGTGATCCATATCAGCAAGAGTCGAAATTCGTCTTCGCCCTGGTACTCTTCATGGTGGGAGACTCCTTGCTCCCAACGCCGAGGATGGAAAGAGAGAGAAGACATGGATATTCCGATGTTCTTTGAAGGTGACGATTTTTTGATCCTTTGGATGCTTGAGTGATGTCGATAGTCCGATATCTGTGATCGATTAGGTGGAAATTTAGATTTTGACTTCGGTAAACGAACATCTTTTCCAGTCCATGGCGTGAGCCATCATGGCTACTTTTCTTTGAGTGTCTCAGGAAGCTGAGACCTTCCAAATTCGACTTGAATCTGCACGTATATACCGACACGAACAAAATTTGCTACGCAATGTATTTGTTAGACTCTTTCGCCGTTATTTTTTTCCGTTGTATCTTCCTGTTTTGAGCTTGTGTGATATCTAACTCATCGCATTTGGCTCAAGGCTCATAACACTCGCTTTGCACCCGTAGAGCAGAAAACGCGCTTCGCTGTCGCAGCCACTTTGGGGAATCTACCCCTCACCCCCCCCCTCTCTCCCTCTCTCTTTCTCTCTCTGTGTCTGAGATCCTCCAGCTGCAGAAGAGCTGCACTTGCTTTTGCCCATGCCAGTCGCAACTCGTTGTTCCCGAGTTAGTTGACATACAGGAAGCTCGCATATTTCATCCACAGCGTCTGACAAACAAACAGGGAGAGATTGGAGGGAAAACAATGGAGGATTTAGGGGATGCTTTGGACAAAGCCTCCGAAGCTCTTTACTTTTATAGGCCTACTGTTGGACGTTGGCTTGCTGCGCTTGAAGCCAACAAGAAGCTAGCAAGTTAACCTGGCTATTCATGTGGCTCATTGAACACAAACACTTAACTTGGCATAAACGGAGAAGCGAGGAGGAAAGAGCATTCGACTGACATTCAAAAAGAGATTGCCTGGCTCAAAAACGATGCAAAGAATCGTAGCGATCAGCTGCAATGCTTTTGAACATGGACTGACGTAAAAAAGGTTCAACTTGATCCCCCTGCGCAGCACACTCTCAATTCTTCATCCTGCTGGAAGACATGCCACCACATCACAGCCCAACCTTGGTGGGCACCAGATGTGGGCACGCTCGACCATCCCAAAAAGAAAGCCAGAAGATCCAAACACGGCTGACCTAGGCGCAAAGGGTCATTCTCGGCTGGCGTTTAAACAATGCGCCGTACCACGCCCTCCTGCAACATTTACGGGGCGAGACCACCCCAGATTTAAATATCCAACTGCTCGCTTGCAAGCAAGGGGATGAGAAGGAATAGGAAACGAAAAGGAAAGGAGCGAGAGGTTTGCTGGATAAGGGGTTGCACGTGTGTATGACGAGTGGTGATGGGTGAGTATAGTGCATAACTTGATGGGTTGACGGTTGATGTGTTGCTGTAAGGACTCTGTTTCACCTGGACGGCTGGCTCTGTATGGACACAGCTCGCTGCAAATTCAGCTGACACGACTCAAAGAAATGGACAGCTCCTGCTCAATCTGGCAAGTGGGCTTTCTGACTCCGCAGTCAACTTCATGGTCCCGCTTCGAGCTTGGAGGGCTACGTGGTTCGAAGCGGTTCGATCGGCATGTCCATGAACATGACGGTGATCAACGATCAATCTTCTGAGAACCATGACAATCAGGCACCACAATGGTGCAATTTGAGTAGGAATAGTCGGTTTCAATTTACAGCCTTTGGACAGCTACATTGCCTAAGACATCCCAAACCTCACCTTGCATAACTAGCCTGAAGCTTAGTATTGGGTTCCCAAGCAAACCAAATAGTTCTACGCAATTCCTTCTCATGTTCGTACAGATCGAACGAACGCAGCGAGCGACCCCCCTGCTCAGTCGAGCGACAAACCTTTTCCTTGCTCTGCTGTCGTGGCCTCAGTCTTCGACCCGGCCTTTCCTGGCATAGTCACATCGACGACTCACTGAGTGATCGTTGCGTAGCGAGGTGAAACCTAACGCATTGTCAAATGTTTTTTGGAGTATAAGTCTCTTCAGCGCAATCAGTTCACAGTGGTGCTTTTGACGTCTCTGGTGATACACTCCCTAATGGGTGAGGCTACCCTCAACATTACCCTCAACATTCTATCATTCAACCTGCAATGACAGCAACTCCAGGTACAACTTGTTAACAGCAGTCCGATACCTCAGCCATCTCCAAAAGTCCTGCCGCATCCTGCGGAGCGCAAAAATAGACAGCACATCATTGGATATGACTCATTATTGGTGCAATTTTTGCTTTGCTAGTGATCTGAAATTCATTTTGATTCTTTCAGCATACATGTTGACTTCGTGGCCCTTTCATGCTTGGACACGGACTAAGAAACACAAACAGCATGGAACTGAAGAAACAGCTGCCTCCTCTCATCAAGCGGAAACAACCTGTTTTCATGCATTCACAGGGCTATGGATGACAACAGCTTTGTGGTTTAGATTAACAACATGTCCTCAGGGGCGTCTCTAAACAAGCTGCGCGGGTGACAGCCCTCGAGCCTCATCTCTGGCCACCTGCTTGCTGAAGCCCAGCTGTACGTATTGATAAAAGTAATGTTCTTTGTCCTGGCAACAAAGCAACGCCCGCTTGAACTTTCTTCCCCCGCTTTGAAGACTTGAAGCCACCAGAGATCTTCAGAGAACAGTATGCAGCATCTTGCGACACATCCCACGCCTGCTGCTCCCAACAAAGAGCTGGTCAACAAAAAGAGGCAACGACACATTCAAAGGCAACATGCTGCCGTCAATGTTCGTGACACCTCGAGGCCTATTCACAGGGAAACAAAAATAGTTAAGGGATTTTCATCTGGTGGCTGGTTACAGAATACTAGGAGCAAAGGACGCTACTAGGGGCTCCTGGCATCGCTACTAGGAGCAAGGACGCTACTAGGGTCTGTGGTGATTGTATGCAATGTTCACCCTGTTCCAAGCGTTTTCGGACCTCAAACTGGGCCAAAAGCCCGCCGCACCTTCTCGAAGGGCTGGATACGAACCTGCGAGGAGTGAAGCATGGAAAGCTGTAGGTATGGAGTTCACCCGCAGTGGATTTCAAGTAAAGGCAATAGTCATTGCACGTTGGTGGTTCCGATCTTCCAAAGTTGAACCAAGTGATATAAAGGTTGCGCTGCCACCAGGCAAGTTTGCTTGGGTGTGAGTATGCTGCTGTACTGGCAGTAGCTGGCATACACTCCCTGCAATACATGATTCCAAAGCCTGGTCACGTCTGTCCAGCCCCTGCCTTGTCATGATGAAAGTCAATGATCTCAGACTTCTTTCCGCAATCGCTGTTACCCAAAAACTGGCGCAAGGAAAGCAACTCTCTCTCTCTCTGTCTCTCGCAAAGCAAGCAAATTGAATCCACAAGACCTGCAGTTTGTCCTTGTTGGCTTGACTTTCAGGAACCTAAAGTGGTTGGACCTCAAAACATATTGCGCTCATCTATCAAGCTTTCTCTGAAATGAACCCACAACAACTGGTCAACTTTTGATTTGTGCAGCAGAGAAGGGCAACATCGCACACTCTCCATCTTTGCGCACATGGCATACCCCCCATTGCCAAAGAATTGTTCAAAGTCAAAAAAAATGCGGTCAAACGGGTTGACATTATCCCATGCATTCTCTCAGATTGTCCTTTTTACCCAGAGTGAGCGGCTAATCTTTCTTGTTGAGAAGTGATGGCCATCGCCGCAGTGCCACTGCTGCTGAAGTGAACTTCCCCACCATCTGTTGGGCATGAGAACAGGATCTGTTGGTTTCAAAACTTTGCCAGTGCATGTCGTGCCCACCCCACTATGGTAGCCGGGGGTTTCCATTGGCTTGGTCACGTGACATGGCCCATGTCAAGGACATGGGTTAGTCACGCCACACGATGAATCGGGTGAACAGGAGGCAGCAATCTGGTGAACAGAAGGCACGACGTGAGAAGCAAAACAGGAAATGGTGTAAGGCCCAGTTCGATGAATGGTGTAAGGTTCGATTGAATTGTGGATTGGAAGTGGGTTGAACACTTGGAACCATTCATCGAACCATCCGGGTGGATCGTGTGGACGAAGCATGACGAACCCTCAGTTTCTCGAGGGCGACGACGTGCACGCCGGAGCAAAAAAATGGGTACCTGTGCGAAATGGGACACTTGGGAAGTTGCTGTGGTTGAAACCTCATCTGTCCAACAAAAACCACTGGCAAACCCATATGAAATGTTGGATTGGGTGGGAAATGGTTTATACATGTTTATGCGGGCTGCACGTGTTTGCCTTGCGCGCTGTTCACCAAGTATCTTGGGTCAGTGAGCGAAACCCTGGTTATGTACTCGGCCAAGGCCAAGAGATAACAATTGAGAAGGGGGAGCCGGGGAGACACGAAAGGTAGAAAAGCAAGAAGGAGCAAGTAAGGAAAACAAAGGCAAAACAAACAAGCGGCAAAATGAGGGCTCTATGTTGTTTGAGTGGTCTGCAAGTATCTACAATGTGCACCGCCAAAAGGATTTGTCTCGCGTGTCTCTTGGAGCTAGATTTATTTAAAAAAAATCGTTCTTATTGTGATGTATTGTGAAATCTGTTCAACGTGCTGTGGTGGAACTCTGGGCTTATGGATCCCATGGCAGGGCAACCCCCAATATAAAGGTCGCCAAGAACGTGTGCGAAGAGCAATCGACCACACGATGCTGCCCCCTGCATGCAGCCTGGCGGGCGATACCCCCCTCCCCATGCGACGGATCCGGTCCGGATCCATCCGGACCGGACCGGACCGAAGACCGTCCGCGCTGCGTTCGACCGGTTCGACGAAGCGGCCGAGGAGCCGAAGCGTGGATCCGATGAGATCCACGGACTGCCGAGCGATCGCTCCGTCTCAAGCGGATCCCGAGCGATCGAGACGGGCTCTGCGGTGTACTGTCGACTTCTCAACGTGTGACGACTCACACGGAGGTAGTGAGGTAGTGAGCTGAAAACACGTGAAAACAATCAGTCAAGTTAAGCCACCATGGGTCGACATGAAGCCGGCAAAACCTCTTTTCGTGGCATCATAAATGCTTTGACACACAAGACTTTGATCGTCCAAAACGCGCATTTTCGGTGCCAGCCAATTCCGCCAGGGATGCCCCGAGCAGATCCGGCAGCAAATTACGCTGCTTGATCTCCACCGTTGCATTCAGCTTGGCAGAGCCCGGCACACCTAGCAGGTACCACTACAGAAAAGATCAACAAACAAAACCAAATCAAAACAATAGTCAAGGACCCGAATCCTGTTAGAACGAAATATCGTGGCAAGAAACACAGCATGGCCGTTGACATCCAGAACAAACGGGACCCAAGCTGGAGATCTAGAAGGTGTAACATGGGCAGCGGTGGGTTCTTTCCCGCATGTCTTTTTTGCCTTGCGAGGAAGCTCAGGGGGTTGGGAAGTCGCCAAAAGGAATCGATGTAACTCGAGGGGCTGGCAAAAGGCCTCTGTACTGCTGGTCTTTGGATTAAGAAGCAGTTGAGAGCTGCATCGGAAGCACTACAGCTTCAGCAACCAGCCAGTGAAAGCCCTTGCCGAACCTTCTCTTGAACAAATCGGCATGTCATGACGATGCCATGAGTCTTTGTTCTTTACCGTCGAGGAAAAACCTGTCTCACCGCATGGATGGGCATCAAATGGCTGGCGGTGGTTGCTTTGGCTCCAGTTTGGATGTTAAAAGGAATTCAACCGCCAAATGCATCCTAGTAGCTACAGACTACAGGTGAAACGATTCCCAAGGAAGCTTCTAGCGATTCTAGCTACTAGTGAACTCCGCAAGCAGGCAAACACACACTGTCGGCCTTTCAGCTCCTTTCTCCACGAAACCTTTCCATCTTTGAGATCCTGCCTCAGTGTGGTCATCAAACTGCCCGTACGGTCTTCAAACTCCAAAATCTGGAATCACACCCGTACGTGGGCGTACAGCCGAACCAGGTGGCTACAGCCTCCCAAAGAGCGAGCGCGCCAAAAAAAGGTATCAAGGACACTTCAGAAACATCGTGAAGGGAATCAAGACATCAACTCCTGCGAGTTCGTAAAACTCCGTGGATTCGACGTCCTGGTTCTCTACACCAACCGTCGACAACACGGTGTTTCCGGCGCGAGCCGCGACCCCAAACGGTTTTCACCCAACGGCCTTCCGCGACCGCCGAAGATTCAACGGGACTGGGGACGTTGGGCCCCAAGAACCAAGACGAAAACGCCGAGTTCGGCCCAAGAGGCCCGGTGAAGTCACGCCAGAATCTCGCGCGGAACGTGGAGCTGGTGTCTTGGATCGTGACTTGCCTCAAACATCGTCATCGTGTCGCTTGAGCGCTGGAACCGCGCTGTCGGAGGAGATAAACGCCCGTTCTGTTTTCAGCTACACAAGACCTCCCCGTGTACAGCGCCTAAGAGCCAATCCCAAGATGAGGGCGTGACACACACTTTGCATGAATCCAAACGTAAAGATGAAAGACAAGGACGTTTTCCAAAACTCCTGGCAGCATGTGATGTAAATAGATGTCAATTGATGAATGAAGACTACATAAGCTGTGTACGGAACGCCGGAGCTGCAGAATCCTTTCCGAAACACAGCCAAAGGTGGCAGAGCATACGCTGGTATCGCTGGAGCGAGCAAATGACTCCATTCCAGGCTTTTGGTGCGTTGCGTGATAGAGCACTTTCATGTGCGCCAACAGTTTCTTTCCCAGAAAGACAATCGGACCTTCTGGGTTTTGCAAGGGTCGATTTGTCTATCTTGATACATGGGCTTCCGACAAAGGTAGAATTGCTCAAATTTTGTACATCAAAACTGCGAGCTCCATGGTGTGTTGCGTGATACAGCAGGTTTTTTGTGCATCAACAGCTTCAAACTCGGAAAGCATGTTCTCAATGTTGATATCAACTTGGGCAAGGATTGTCTTATGTGCTAGTTCTGTGTGTGAATTGTATTGCGTTGGATTCGTTGGATGTGTTGAGACGGGGTGAGTTGCATTGTGTTTCATCCTGTTGAGTTGGGCTTCGGTGCTTTCTCTGGGTGAGTTTGGTTGGTGTTTTCGCTGTTCCGTGCGAGTTGAGTTGTACAATGAGTTACACCGCACAGAAACACGTTGCGCACTGTTGGTGCAACGATGGTTCCTCGCCCGGCACTGCCGTGCATATAAAGAATCACATCAACATAGCGAGGAACTTGATAGCAGGGGAGAGAGAGTTGTTTTGGTGACGCATTGCTCATCACATGTAGCAGCGGAAAGGGATCCGTTTCAAGTTTTCTTGATCGTTCACACACATGAGGAATCACCTTGACCCCAAAACGAGGCCTTCGTCCCCCATCTTTGCCGATGGGAAGATGTTGCTGAAATGTTTCAGAGGAATGGCTTTACCGAAACAAGGCAGCTTGAGTCAAACTTGGTTTGCTCCATTCGCTTCTTGCCGCCAACCATTTTGCCAAGCTCAAGATAGGCATTATCTTCGTCAGGCTGCCTCCTCCTGACAGGTTTCCAAACTTTTTGATGCTGGAGAAGTCTCGACGAGATAGGTCTTTTCGTTAAAGCTTACACTTTTGTCTTCTGCTTCTTCAACACCTCGTCCTTCTTTAACTATCTGAGGCGCTCTGACTCATGCTCTGAATCCTCAACGGCCCTCAACGAAAGCGCCACGTTCCGTTCTGCAGGGGAGGATTCCTCTCGCTTTGGGTTGACAGTCGTTTTCAACTTCGGTTCAGGATGTTCAGCTGCCGCAAACTTAGAGCCTTGGTGTCAAAGAGTTCGGAACCTGGGACAAACAAACGTCATTTGCAAGGGCCAATCAAATGACAGGTGGGGTGCACATAGGCTAGCGGCTAGCGCTTCTTGACAGTCACGAAACTACAACATTCGACATGCATTAGCTGACACGAAAAAGAGAAGAGGGCAGCCTTCACTCAAAAGCAGCATACTGCAAGAACCTTGACCCCCAGCCTCGCAGGCTTCCAAAATATGAGATGTTCTAAAAAAGATGGAACCGATCACCCCACATGCGAAGTTTAAATTAGGGTCGCTGAGTGGAAAGAAGGGGCAGAAAGAAGACGAACAAGACGGGAGCACGCGGACGAATGTGTGTGGACGATGAGCGTCGAAGTAAAGGATTGTCTGACTGAGCGCGTGTGCGTGAATGAACGAATGAGTGAGCCCGTCGGCGAGTGATCGTGAGCGCGCGTGCGATAGATGCACTTCTGTGTGGTTTTGGGTCCTCGACCATGTGACACCGCGGCGCAAAAGTAAGAACGCTACTAGGAGCAAGAACGCTACTAGGGGCTCCTGGCCTTACTACTAGTAACAAGAAGCTGCTAGGGGCTCCTGGCATCGCTACTAGGAGCAAGAACGCGAACAAACACCATTTGGTCTCGAGCTCGGCGTTACTCTTGTCGCCCAGGCTCACTCTTCGATAGTCTTGACCATAGATGGAACCTCGGCTGTCTCCCCTCCTAAAACCTGCACAGCTGGAAGAGAGATCCAACCAAAAGCGACGTTTTTCTGTGATCAAACAGGATGAATGGATCATGAATGGAGAAAAAAGGCAAACCGACCCCCCACAAACGCCAACAAGGGAAACGCCAACGGGTCTGGTTCCACCGATTTGCCAAGGATAAAACTTCAGCGATGGAAAGCCCACATCATCCATCCATCCTGCTGCCAATCTGCAAGCACCAGGATACATAACCTCAACCAGCATATCAATGTCGGTGCCTCAAACGGCTTGCGGCTAGAAGCTTGAGAAATTAGAATTCAGTGTCTGTCAAATGGCTCTTGAGTATGGGCTCATTCATATATATATATATCTAGTATATAAATTGTGAACAATGATTCGATTGCCCCTCAATCCTTGCTCCATCAAAGCTGCAATGGCACATCTGTCCTGTTCTGAAAGAAGATATGATATCATACTTAGCTGGAAAGCAAAAATAAACTCAAGTACTAAAGCACGGCAAGCCCAGTCGACTCAATGAACACCTGTAGAGCATCTTGAATAGCCGGTGCAAGGTGAAAACAAATGGGATGAAACCTTAAACCCTATGACGGCTTCCAACCCTTCGTCTATCAGGTCTTGAGTCCTTGAGTCCTTGAGTCCTCGAGTCCTGAGTTCTTGAAGCTACTAGGTGGAGGCCATCGCTACTAGTAACGAGAAGCTACGAACGTAGCAAGGCACCTTACTACGAAGGAGTCTTGCGCGCTCCAGAGGTGCCCAAGACCCAAACGACACCAGAGGTGCCCACCACGCCTGTCTCTCTCGAGTGATCCTGGCAAGGCTGGTAGGCAACGACGAGACATCGAAGAGGATTTGTAGAGAGCCACCATCAATGTCGCTGACACATCCTCTTAAAAAAGGTCATGCTGCATGCAAATTGAAGTGAACAATCCTTAAACATGCAGTGCTCATCAATTCGTTCACTGTTGAACCCTAACGAAACCTACCAAAATCACATCGTGACGAAGAAACCGTACGAATTTGCCACATCCCAGCCGTTGTTGGAGAGAGACCTTGCGCCCGCCTCCTCAATCAAGGCCAGCGCAGGAAACGTGGCAACAGCTAAAAGGGGTATCCACATCTCCCAGGCTGCTTGGATCCCTCCTTGCGATCGGACACAACCAATCAGCAGCACTGCAGCGCGAATGCAGCGCGTCTGTTTCTTGTTTTTTTTACGCGAACGTGAAATCTCACCACCCAAAGGCATCTCAGCTCATGTCACAAGTACCTCCAAGTCAGTCATACCGCCCGTCAGGTCGCCGCAACCGCCTGTAACAAGTGTTCAAACTCCTAAAGCCGGAAGAGAAACGTCGAGCGAGTTGAGTCCGCCAGAGCGATTGCCGTGGCGACGAGCGACACCGGTTCTCTCGCAGTTCTGGACGGTACGGACTCAAGGAGGACGTGTTTTGAGGCCCGCCGCAAGAAAAAGGATCCCACCTTCCTAAAGTCACCCGCCACAAACAAAGTTGTCTGGAGCAGCTGTGGTGGCTATTACGGAATCAAAACAACATGTTCCCACAACTGGAAGACAGTTGTCCGATCTTTTCAATGAACTGGTAAGCTGCATACCGAACACTTTTTTGGATCTCGAACACAAAGCTTGAATTCCACCGGTTGCTATAAAACACTGCCATGTCAATATGGGACATACTCAGCTTTGATGTTGGACGCATTTTCTTCTGACCACAGGAACCAGCATGGACTTGTCTTGTGTTTGTAGTTCTGGTGCTGCGAATGCCAGAAATAGAATGCACGTGGAGCTCTATGTTGACCGATAACGGTCTTCCAAAACGCATACATACTGTGTTTTGATGGTGCTACACACCTTTGGGTCCGTGGGCTCACCTTGTTTCTTTACAGTTGACTAGACATTTTGAGAAAGGCTGATGGTTTTTCAAAGGCCAAGCAATCAGTGGATCCTCACCTGTGCAAAACGCCGCTGGCAAACATCCTCATATTTGACTAGTGGGAAAGAATGAGTTGCCCCTTCAACATGACAGCATGCCCTTATGAAGTAAGGCATCCTGCTCAAGGCGCGTTCATCGACACTTTCTGTAGACTGCTGGCAAGCCCGCTTCATTCCACCCCAAAGAAGTTCAACCCACTTTGTTTCGCAGGCATGAACTGGATATGTTCTCGCAATCAGAGGTCTGATGCAGCAAGGGTCGGCAACACGTTGGTGTGCTGCAGTGTCCTAACGGAGAACTAAGTTTCTCAACCGTGACCACAGGTGACCTAATGTGGAGAAGAATGCACCATGGAGGCCAACCTAGGCCCGATTATTTTGCACACACACCAGTAAAATCCGAACTAACATGAAGCAACCTTGTTTCTCGCAAAGTCTCCAACAAACGATACTGGTACATCAGCTCCAAAGAAAGCGCGGTCTCCTGAAAAGACTCGATGCTGTCAATGTAAAGGCACCGGAAGTTTTGGCGCACTAAACGAAACTCTGAGCAAAATGGCGCAGCAAAGGCGAGCCTTCCTGGTGCAAAACGCCTTTATGCAGCAACCCTCACGAGATGGCAAGCCTACATCGGAAACCGGGTGTAAAATATGCGGCGCGGCGGCAGGCGTGGGTTCACTTGACAGAAAACAACCCATGGCTGAACAATCGTGAGAACCACATCATCCTTGCTGGATTGCTTATGCGTAGCAAGTAACATGCCCAACACGCAGTCATGGGCACACTCTAACTGACCTACTAGCGATGGCCTCTAACCTGATAGCAATGGCCCCCACCCTAAAAGCGATGGCCTCCATCCTAAAAGCGATGGCCTCCAACCTTATAGCGATGGTCTCCAATGTAGTAGCGATGGCCTCCAGCCTAGCAGCGATGGCCTCCACCCTAGTAGCGATGGCCTCCAACCTAGCGATGGCCTCTAACCTGATAGCAATGGCCTCCACCCTAAAAGCGATGGCCTCCAACCTTATAGCGATGGTCTCCAACGTAGTAGCGATGGCCTCCAGCCTACGATGGCCTCCAACCTAATTCCAATCTTGTGACCAAAGTGTTTAATCGGTGCGTCTGGTGTCCGTCCGGCGTGCGGTTGCGGGTGAGGGCACGCGTAACTTGCGATCACAAGATTCACAAGCCACTCGTCTGGATTGTCTTGAAGCATGCACGGTGGCGCAACATGAGTTCTGTGACACTAATCATGGGTATAACGAGTCTAATCAAATCCGTGGGGTGTACCCGCATCTGTGGAGATAGCATGCGGCTAAGCTGAGAAACACAACACGGACACATGCACAGGGTTTGGGAATTGTGGTGACACTTGTGACACTTGCGAAAGTTGTCACTACAAGAATGCGCGTCAAGGATCACGGATAACACCGAAGTACGATGGGGGAAGCTGTTCCTACTAAGATAGCTCTGGCCGAAGTTTGCTCTGAAACATTTACCCGATTGAAGCACTGAGCGGCATTAGCCCTTATCTTCCTTCCAGGTGCCGCTTCGGTGCATTCTCGCTGAGTTGGGGATGTTGGTTTCGTCCCGGTTTCTGCATCCTTGTGTTTCCAGGTATGTCGGTGATAGATAGCGCGTGTCCACTTGCCACCATACCATGCATTTCTACAAAAGGTAATGGTTTCTTCAAATACAAGGACCTCTCATAGCGAAGGACGACTCATGCGAGACAACTCACGCAAGTTCAGCAACACCTAGGCCTAAATGCTCTACAACATCGCGCCACAGTTGCCGTAGCAAAGCGTCAAAACAATTCAGCTTCCTGCTTTGCAAGGTTGGCTTCAATACCTTTCAAGAAACATGCGCTAGTATGTCAAAGCAGCAACCAGTCTATAGAAGTGCAAGCCAAAAGGACTTCCAGAGTGTAGAATTCACCAACAAACACATACACGCACACACACACACAAATAGGATTCCTTTTTTCCCATGTTGACTGCCAAATGCAATCTAGCAGCAGCTGCTGGCCTTTGGCGAGAACCAACAAGCAAGCTTCATACAAAATGGAGGAAATGGCTTTATGGTCATATGCGCCTTCTCTCATACGTACACTTTGTGCGCAAAGGTGACCCAAGTTTTCCGTTCGGAATCCACACAGTTTCCTGCCACATTGCACCACCTTCTCATTCCTATGCAAACATTGCTGTCTTGCCATCTGCATCCAGGAACCTGCACAGGTGGGCTGCATCGCCAGGGCTGCAGTCTCCTGCATGCACACGAAAGCAAGCACGACACGTCCAGAAATGGGTGAAAAAGAGTACAGGCAGTGAAGCATCGACACGTCCTCTTTACATGTGAAAAAGAGGACACGCCCACTTTTGACATGGCTCTGCCAATTCAGGTGACACACAAGTGACACTCTCTACCCGCAGCCTCAAGTCACTTTCTTCCAGAACCAGACTGCTGACAAGTCTATGGCCTTGAGGATTCCCTCCTCTATGTCTTGCATTTCCTCGAAGATGTCCTCCTCACAAGGAAAGGATGGAGACTCCACAAAGCATGTGACGGGGTTCTCATCATCATCAGGCTCGTATTGGAAGAAGTAGTAACGGACGTCCTTGAAAAATACTTTGTGCTCGCGTGCCTTCTTAAAGCAATCTTCAGGATCCTTTGCTCGGATTGGCCTAGATTCCTCATCCCACGGACATGCGATTTCATCTATCTCTGTCATCTTGTAAGCCTCGTAGTCGATGCAACTCATTTGCCTCTGTCTTTTGAAGGCAGGAGGAGCCTTATCAAGGCTGCTCAAATCGCAAGGGGCTTTTCTGACCTCGAGGCTGGACGCAGTGAGGGCCTCGCCATGATCCCACAAGGGGCGGGCCGCTCTGACAGCTGTGAACTCGGAAGATCGAATCAAACTACGAAAGGACGAAACGCACGAAGCCATGGCGTTGACTACTGAAGGCTTGTGCCAAACAGCCTGACAAGTGAATGCCAAATGCCAGAAAACGAATGCCAACGCGATGGAATGGTCTTGATTCAATTTGAAATGGTACAATCCAAACAAGGCCACAAACATCTGAGTGCATAATTCAATCGACAAGCACAACCATGAGGCCAAGTCAGTCCTCAACAATGCTGTTGCAAACAGCATCAAATTGCCTCTTTCCCATGACTTGCCATGAACTGCACGGGTTTTAACATCTTTCGACTCCATTTTGGAGGGCTTTCCCAATGTTTTCTTTTTGGGGGAGCAAAGCAAGCAGCCGCTCCTTGCTTTCCTCTGTGTCAGGTTCAGGACCTCATCATTGTTTGCGATAACCATTCTCGGGTTCCCTTGAGCCAAAGGCAGATCAACATGTGATCAAACAATAGCAGTTTGCATAGAACATGTTACCTATCTCGTCCTGTCAGATGCACAAATGTACAAACACTCCACCAATCGTGACTCGCGTCACCATCGTATACATATATACATATCACCAAATCGCCGGCACTCCTTCTCAAAACACATCCCACTTGCCAACATTTGAAGACTTGCTTGCAACACGAAAACAACACATGACTCCGGCCATGACTCCGACCATCAATGGACAGGAACGTTCGCGTCTTCCAGGCACGTTCGCGACCGCTTCGTCTTCCGGCGTTCCACCGCAGGCGGAACTCACGGGCAAAACTGCAGCTCGGATCCTTGAGTCCCTGAGTCCCTCGTCGGAAGTGTCCACCTGCTCCTAAATGGTTTTTTTTTGGCACGCAGACTCACTGTCTTGTGGCCTCTTTGGGGTGGGGGTGAAACCTCTCTCAACGACCCAAGCGGTCGGAGTGTCCTACCTTCTGCTTCCAAAGTCTGAATGCATAACGGTAGGGAGATAGGGATCCCACGGAGATTGAGCCGCCTGAAGAAAGGCGTCGTCACCAAGCTCAGGGCCCAAACTGCCTGCACTTGCTTCTTTGAAGCTATCTACAACTGCACGTGCAATGCTTAAGCACATTCTTGGAGGATACTCCTTCAGCTCACTAGTCGCGAAAATGCCCTCCGCCGTGCGACCGATCGACCGAGTTGCAGGCATCTCAGACGATCTTTGTTGTTCAAGACGTTCTTCAAGTGTTCGAAGGCCATGAACCATCAATGCTGTGGGCTTTGGAGACTTTGCCCCGAACTGTCCCTGCCAGACTCGAAGCTTTCTCATAGGTAGCAGTGCCAGCATTGCACGTAGGACCTTCAGACGCCATATCGACGCCAGACTTGCATCGTCTTCTGGTTCATCCGGGTGCTCGAGCAAGCAACCTGTTGCGGCCCGGATGCAATCGAGCACGAGAATGATTGCGAACTGCAAGAGCCGTGAGCCAACGATGCATTGGGTGTGTTCTCGCTGGCTCAGGCCAATCATTCCCCAAGGTTCCTGACTGGATCTGAGGACCCTTGGCTGACTGGCACTGCTCTCATCTTTGAGGCAGACTCCTCTCGCTCGTGACCAAGTTTCACATGGCGGACCTGCAATGAGCGCGAGTATGCGACCTGCTTTGATCATCTGTCTCAGCCATGACTGTGCATGCGCATCCAGTAGGTCGCATTTTTTGTCTATTGCAAGGTCGAACGAAAGGCAAATCACTGAGTGCTTTGCCTGTCTTGCAAGCTCCTCAATCCAGTATTGGATATCTGCTTCACGTCGGCGGCCACTGAACAAATGAAGCACATACTTGGCTCTTTGTTTGGGAACACAATCCAAGGACAATGCACGGAAGTTGCAATCAACAACAAACGCTATATTGCCGCAAATGAGTCCGTTCCAGTCAAGGGCCTCAGTTGGGACTGCAATTTGCTGCCACAGTCCTTTCAGGACGTCCCAGACACGACCAAAGTACCTTCTATGTTCCGGAGAGCATATTGCAATGGTCTTGCTTGCCATGCGAATTGCGCCCTCCTGCTTTAGATACTCTTGGCCGAAGGTGCGAAGCAAAAAGGATGCCGCACTTTTAACACCATCTAAGAATGAGTGCAATTCCTCTTCAACAGGCGCTAGGCTGAGAAGGTAATGAATGGCAGCCTCCTCGAAGGCTCCTACATTTTCAACACCCGACAATTTGTCTTGCGTCAAAGGTCGAAGTGTAGACCACCATGCTTTTGGTCCTGCACATTGCACTCCAGCTAACGGCGGAATTTCTAGTTCTCTGGCAATTCTATCACCGCCAAAATCTTCTGGATCGAGATCACTTTCCTGGATAATGCTCCAGCATGTGCCCCTCTTATATTGCCAGTGCTGCTGGAGCGCTTCACTGTTGCCGTAATATTTCAGGCAGACCGGACATGTGTCTCCTTTTGCATAGTAGTATTGTGCAGAAAAGACCTCATGCTGCCTATGCTTGTGCACTCCAAGAGCTTTGAGCGTGCCAAAAATCTTATCACAGTATTGACAACGAAAGGAGCCCTTGACTACTCTCTGCGCATTGCCATGTGTTTGTTCAAAAGAGGCAACGCCCATTTGTCTCAACATCTTGAGTGCCTGGCTTTCAAACTCATGCGCTTCCTGGAGTCTGTGAGCATAATTACGGCATGCTTTTCCAACTTGTTTGAGATGCTTCTTCCACTCGGTCCCTTTATCTGCCAAGGTTGTGACGAGATTCTGAATCTGTGAGACCTCAGGGATGCACAACCAATCTGGACACAGACGATTCTCTTTCAGCCAGATCAAGTCGGAGTATAGCATATTGTGGAGCCAATTTGACTCTGCGTCCAAGATTGCCCAGAAATCTGCATCAGCAAACTGACAAATCTTCTGAAATTGCCGCAGCCTTTCAATTTTCAGCAGTTGCCTCGGGTGCAGAACTCCTAGTTTAGCCACGATCTTTTCATTGGATGCTTCCTTCCATTCCGAACCATACAAAGCAACTGCAAGTGACCTCAGTAGTCTGAATGCAGCGGTGTCAAAGACTTGCCATTCTTGCTGCGTCAAAAATGACCAACATGATGCGTGATGATAGAATTTAGATCTGACGATTGCATCATAAATGTGCAGCTTGACTTCCCTAGGAATGGCTCGGTTGGCAAACACATGTTTACGTAGAGCGCGAAAGGCACTTCCTGCTATCCCCGCCCTAGAACGAACTTCTGTTCGGAATTGGTGAGCTCTACCGACCATACCTCCTAGATGCTTGTAGGTCGTGGCAACATGTACAGACCGAGTTTTGCCTTCAAAGTCTCGGAATGCTATCTGATTGCCCATATCGATTGCAACGTGACGCTTTGCCTTGGTAGCATTCAACCCATGGAAGCTGAAGATCACTTCGGTCTTTCCTTTACCCAGATTTAATTCGACGCCCAAGCTTGCAAATGCCTTTGACAGGCGGTCACATGCTATGCTTGCTAAGTCGATCAATCTGAACGGATCTGGGTGTGACACTAGTACACATAGATCATCAGCCCACACTGGAAGACACGTGAATCTTCGACTATCCAGCTGAACTACGATGTCTAGCTCGTGGAAATCAGACTTTAACTGCCTTATGACACTACCGAAAGCGATTGACCACAAGAGATCTGCCAATGGATCGCCCGGACGCGTCCCAGTCATGGAACATGAAGGCACCCCTTTGACTCCCATTGTAGTCCAGACATCTTCGAAGAGTGATTGCACGATGTTGCCGATCTTAGTGGGCACAGAACACTGCTCAAGTGGACATCGAGCTGCAAAAGCCTCTCTTATCTGCTGTTTCATGTGTTCCGAACATGGCATGCGATCCAGAAAATCTCGTTGCCGATCTGGTGACCACTGCCTGAACCATAACACATCCCGAGCCATTTGATAGTAGGCTTGTTTTGCATCTAAGAATATCACCATGGAGCTAATCTTCTTCTGATGACATGCACCCTGGAACAGCCGTACTGCCTGAGCCGGCAGGGAGGTTGGCATGCCTCTTCTAGCTCCTCCTTGTAACGGGGATGCGAACGATTCGAAATAGGGCATCAGTTTCTCACGATATGCTCTATGTGTCATTTTTGCAAGCCCCTCTTGAAGACTGATCTGTCGCCAGTCCTTTGCGTGTGGTGAGATTCCATTACTCTTCGGAATTGGCACGATCAAGCTGCCTTGCCACTGTAACGGCTCTTCAAACCGCAAAACGGACTTCAGCACAAGTGGGTAAGCTTTTCGCGCAAAATCTGGTGCAGCATTCCTGAGCAGGTCAATTGGTATTCCAGACAACCCTGGCGCTTTCTTTCTGGCAAACTTCAAGAGCGCCTGCTCACATTCTTGGAGAGTGGGAACATCTGCCGAGGTAAATACCTCATTTGATTGCACACTGTCCTCAAAGCGCTGAAGTGCTTTCTCTTGATGTTTGTGCTGCAGAGCTATTGGATCGACGAAATATCCTCTTTCCGACTCTTGGAAATGCTTCTCCCAGATTTCATATACTCGCAGGGGCGTTTCGGCTATCTCCCCTTCTGGCGTTTGCAAAGCAGGCAAGCTGAACTTAGTCTTGTATTTACGAGATTTAGTCAGCTTTCTGAGCCGTTGAAAGAGGTGCTCAAGCCCCTCTTTCGAGGCTGTAGTGACCGAATCCGACACATAGGCTTGTAACTTGCGCTTTGCAAGGTTCTGATACTGTCGCATCAACTCTCTCGAAAAACGCTCGAGGCGTACTTCGCATCTCCCTCCTTCAGAATTCCAGCTACGAAAATCCGGCAGAGCACAATCTTCTTGCTTGTGGCACTTCCATGCTTGAAAGAAGAACCATGTCTGACAGAAACTTCGGAACGCTTTCAACTGTTTCAGCCAACCCTGTGCGAGACGTCTTTGCCTGACTAACTGAATAGCTTCTTGGTCCAGGAAGGGTTTCTTGGGCTGTTTCTTCTGCTGAGGGAAAGTTTTAACATAGCCTCGCCTACATGGTCTTCTAGCATCTGCGCATGGGAGGTGGCGTCAACTTCCCAAGGAATTTGCGGAATTGATAGCGCAATTTGCTTGCACATGTCCACCCCTGCCGGCGTATTGATGCTATCCGTATCGACCCGAGGCTTTTTCTTTGAGAGGCCATGGAAACTCTTGCTAATCCATGTTTTAAACTCTATCCCCACTGGCAGGTGGTCAATTTTATCTCGGCCAGTGTCGAAAGAGCTCAGATCAATACTGGTGCCACAGGATGCAAACTCTGGAGAGGTGGCAATATAATCTAGACATGATCCACCTTGAACTTCATCTGCATCAGCTGCTATGGAATGAGACCAAGTAAAGAGGGCTCGACCTTCGTCATCTTCTCGAGTTCTGATGACTAGATCCTCGGCCTGCAACCAATCAAGAAAGAATTCTTCAGCAGGTGAACTGACATTATAATTTGATCGGCTGGAAACTAAGTCTCCCGGTCTCAAAAGCTGTGCATTTGCATCCGCTAGAACAACTATATGATGATTAGTGGGAACAGCTTGTCTGACA